ACGAACAAAATTTCAATTAACCGATGCATCGGTACACACTCTCTTTTTCTTTCTTTCTGTTTATTTCTTTCTCTCATTCTCCCTTTTTTCGTTCGCGCCTAGTAAAAGTTGAGTTAACGAATGAGTGAATCAGAGACAGAAATAGAATAGAAATTAATTACTTACTTTCCCATCGACGTTGCTATGGGGGCCAAACTGTGAGCAGCTCGATCGATGGTGGTGATGGGGGAATTGGGAATCGTAGTGGGAGAATGGGGGGGGGGGTAGGGTTTCGCACGGTTTTTTCTTCATGCGATTAAATTACGTTTTTTCTCTCTCTCTCTCTCTCTCTTTCGTTTTATGCATCCTAACATTTATTCTTTACCCTCCTCGTGTTGTTTGTTTTTTTTTTTTTTAATTTTGATTCGGATTCTAACGAAAATTATTTCGAAGAATTTCGAATGAAAAATTTTCAGCGAAATTTCATCCTTTAACGAACTCTTTTTTTTTTTTCTTTTCTTTTCTTTCGTAATCCTTTTTTATGACACACACACACAGACATACACATGTATAGGTGGAAAATTTTTGAAAGAAAACCTGATAGGATCTAATTTTTTAGGATTTTAATTTTTTTGGTTTTTTTTTTTCTTAACATTCATGCCGAATTTTTTCTTTTTTTTTTTCTTTTTTTTCTTTTTCTTTCTCTTACTTCCACTTTTTTTTCCCACCGTTTTATACTTTACTCTATTCTTCATCTTTTCACCTCGTCGATGAAAACTCTCTCTCTCTCTCTCTCTCTTTCTTATTTCTTGAAGGAGATTAGGTAGCTCGTTGTTCAAGAGAAGCCACGGTTAGGTCGGGGGTGATATTGCGAGGAAACTTTCCAAGGCATTTTCCGTTGGAAAAAGGATTTATCTCGAGCGTAAAAGAATCATAGTATGTATTTCGTAGATACTACTTACGGGAAGAAGATTAAATACGACCGGGGTACTCTCTCAAACCAAGTTTCCTTCCATTTCTTTCTTTTAAACGTTGATCCCTTGTGATTTATATTTATTTTTTTATATTTATTTATTTTTTTATTTACCACACATAATAATATGATACAATAAAAAAAGAAAAGAAAAGAAAAAAAACAATTGCATCAAGTAAAAAAAAAAAAAGAAAAAAAACAAAAGAAAGTATCCGAAATATTTCTTCGATTCTCCTTTTTTTTTTTAATCTAGTAACCCGATCGAAAAAATACAAAAAAGAGAAAATAATATACCTGAATGATGATAATGATGATGATGACGATGATGATGATGATGATGAGTTTTTGGCGATGAGGATGAATAAAAGGTTAGAAAAAAAAAAAATAAAAGAGAGAACGAAACGTGAACGTAATGATGAAACAGTACGGTAGATATTCTCGCGTAGTGTGTAACACAGTTGGCTTCACTGATTGCCAATATGGCAGAACGCGTAGCTTGGGGAAAAGTGGGGGTGTTAGGGTGGTAGTGATGGTGGTAGGTAGGTTCCCCATTCCCCCTCTCCAATCCCTCTAGAGATGATTTCCCTCTCTTCCTCATCTCCCTACTCTCTTGACAAACCTCCAACACCCCCAACCCCTAACTCCCAACTTTGAATCCCCTTTTACCCCGTTCACTCCTCTTCAACCCTTCCACCTATCTTCCTCCAACCAACCAACCAACCAACCAACCAACCTGCGTTCAGTCGTTGGGTCCACAATATGCCGCGGGCGTTAATTTCCCCGTGAAACGCATTGCACCCCTGCGATTCAATTGTTCCGGGTCTGCGACCACGGTGCTTCGCACTACATTGCCAAGATTGTTCAGAGAGAGAGAGAGAGAGAGATATGGGGGAAGGGTTGGAATGTTAGATAGAAGGTGGTTTGGCAAAGGAGTATAATCTCCTAATGATACGTGAACATTTTTCTCCAATTCTTTTGTTCTTCATTGATAATTCAGTCTCTATACTTTTGTTTGTTTGTTTTTTTGCTTATTTGGTGGTTCTTGTATGTTGGTTGATTCTTGGTTCATTTCCTTGGAACTTTATAGTGATGATATGGTAAGCATGTGCTCGTTAAACAAGTATCGGTTTAGGATCATTGTTTACTCCCTCGAGACGAATCACTCGAGGCGTTACACATTCTGTATGCGTGTAACCGAGGAATTCAAAGTCCATCCCTTCCAAGTGGATTGTCGAGGGTTGATACGGGGTAGCTCACGAATGCATGGATTGTTCAATCCTAGAGATATATACGTAGATACGATTCCATTGATTCTCTTAATCATACTTACTGTGTTATATGTATCTTTTTCATTTATACTAATATTGATATCTTTTTTTTCTTGGGATTATGTATTTATTGGTTTATCTATGACAATGATACCTTGTGAATATTTTTCGAAAATGATATTGTTGAGACTTTGATTGGTACTACAAAAAATACATGAATTGTTTCTTGTTCGTGATACGTTTCATACTGTTCACTGTATTTTTAGTTAGATATAGTGATACAGTTTTATTTAATATATGTGTTCAGGAATGTCAAAGTTTTATTCAAAATACTATTGGAGTTCATATAGTTCATAGAATGTATGGATCGTTCTATGTTCAATAACATTGAATAGATTTCATTGATTGTTCTCTACTGTGTGCTACTCATCTTTCTATTCTATTCACCTATTGAAATTGATGTGATGTATTATAGAGATGATACTGTTTTATCTGATTCTTCAATCAGTGTACTTGCATTTTTAGGACAATTATATTAATGACATTTTTAATTCTATATTTTTAATAATCTTTTGCGTGAATTTTTATTAGACATATCATATTATTAATTCTGTTATAATTTAATGTAACTAATGAATTTGAAAATTATTTCAAAAGGATTGTCATGGGTTTGATACCTTATGAATGCATAAGTTATTCTATGTTTGAATACCCATTCATTGATTGTCTCTCATGGTGATAACCATCTTTCTATTCCATTCAAGTATTGGAATTGGTATGATGGGTTAAAGTGATATGGTTTTTTTTTTTTTTATTTAGTTTATTCAATACAATTGTGTGGAATATTTGAAGTCCGTAGATTTCAAGAAAATGCTTTAGTGTTATTTCAAGTAACCATTCATTGATTCTTTCTTAAACTAGGTAGACATTTTTTCTTTTCATTTATGACGATAGTTTTATTCAATGATTATCTCATTTTTAAAACAAATGTTTTTTTTTTTTTAAATATTTGTTACGAATAGTAATATTGATTATTTTCTTTCAAAAAAATATCTTACAAACATTTATATCGAATAAAAGTATGAATTATGGCGCCATCTATTTGGATGAACGGCGCCATCTTAATTAAAATGGCATATCAATTATCGCCATATTCAAAATAGTATATTAATTTATTAAATATAACTTATAAATATTTATTTTTGATTTATAAGAACAAGAAAACTAATGTCTGCCGTTTAATTAAATTCGTTTATCATTAATTTGTATTTATTATAAACAAATATTTTTTTTTTTTTGGATTATTCGATTATTATATTTTTTAAAATGTATTCTTATTGTAAAAAGTATTTAAAAAAAAGAAAGGAAAAAGAAATGTCCATAGGAATATCAGATATGAAATATACAAGAGTTATTTTCCTTGTCAAATGTAAGAATATTCCGATCGTGTCGACGATGCACTCGCGAAATGTCATTGCCTTATTGAAAACACATCGCTTCTGCTTCTTCCTACGTGCGAAGCATAAACGCGTTTTGCTACGCGAGGAAAATACTTTCTTAACAATTTTTCACTTTACCTAGGCGTTAGGAATAAATTACTAGTAAAAAAAAAAAGTAGGTGGGGGAATGAGAAGGTACTGAAAATATACTAGTTTTTATTCATTTTATTCCAACGTCCAATTCGATCCATATATCCATAGAAATATGATTACGAGTAAATTTAATATGAAGTATCTTACGATAAAGTGATACTTGTTATTTCAATTGTTTGTTAAAATAATATAAGCATTTTTTGTTTTCTTATTGTTAATCAAATGACAAAAAGTTTGTCAAAAAACATGTTATATGGACCGTTTATTTTGAAAGTGGTGTAAGTCCAATTTCCATAGAAAAAAAGAAAAAATAATATACAAATGAATTTCCTGTATACAACACAGGAATATTATGGTATTATAAAACAGTGTAAACAACATAATAAATTTATTCCATGTAATAAAACATAAGATTAATATTGTATGTTAAATAATATATAATTTATTAATAATATTAAATTATATATATGAAGTTATTTTTAATTCAATATAAAATATAAAATTGAATATAGTATTTTTAATATGGCGGTAATTGGTGTGCCATTTTAATCAAGATGGCGCCAATTATTTCAATGGAGTGCCCCTTAATTAATCCTTTTTCTACAAATATAAAGCATTGCAATAAATTTCTTTCATTTAATAATAACTTTCATAATCAACCCTCAATAATAACAATAATAATAACGATCGATATCGTTATTTAAATTTATTCAAAATACTTAAAATTAAACGTGATATATTATTGTAACCGAAAAAATATCCGATACAATATCACCGAGCGCCATAATTAATTCAAATAAAAAATCGGATATTTAAATTGCATAATAAAAATAAAAATAAAAGAATAATCGATTCTTTTTTACAAAATATAAAAAAAGAAAAGAAAATACTATTTAAATGGTTAATTAATAAAGATCGATAATTAAACGATGATTGATATATACGTGTTCATGAAAAGGTGTTCTATATCTCTCGATAATTTCGAGTGGCCATCTAACTAAGGGTCGATGTTGTGCCTAGCAGCCCATTTCTAGTTGCACACTAGTTGCCTGGTCGATATAAACGCGACCACATCACCAATCCCCAACCCCAAAAGGCAACCCCCGAAACGATTCGGTCTAACGACGAGAATTGTGAGAAGTTAATCGACCGACACTAACGATTTCATTTCTTTCTATTCTTTTTCAGTTAACCTTTTGCAATCACATCGCAGTGGATGAGACTGTCAGATATACACCTCATCCAAATGATCCAGAAAAAACTTTACTCCAACAGGAAGCTGTGGTTACTGTTAGCGGTGTACCACTTACACATTACATGGAAGAATTATTAACATCTAAAATTTGTTTTAATTCTGGCATGGTGAGTTTTATATATATAGTAAGATACAAATTAATAATAGAAATATTATCAATCATAAATGATTTGGGGATTAATTTTTAATACATTTTGTTGTTGTTTCTAAATTTTATACAAAGAATAACAAACGATGATAATTAATTAAAACAGGAATGGATTAGGAACACATTAATGTGATTTTTGATAATAAGAAAAAAAGGAAAAGTTTTATTCATTGTTCGATCGAAATCGAATTACATTAAAAAATCTGTTTGTTCGATCTTTTGATTTGGATTTTTTTCTCTTTCTTTCTTTCTTTTTTTTTTATGATGTTACTAAAGTATCCTATTACCAACGAAGTATCTTTTTAAATGGGCATATAAAAAGGAAATAAAGGTTTTCGATGATAGGGGTTGGTAGGAAGATAAACAGGGGGGAAGAGTTTTTTCCTCGTAGTATTATAAATTTGTCGTAAGGTGTACTAAAAAGTAAGTATAGTGAAAGTTGATAAGGAAAAAGATTTATTCTTTATAACGTCATGAAATTTAACAAAAAAAATCATAAATTTGTATCGGTATATATATTTCTATTAGTTTGATTTTATTTTATAATGCTATGACAATTAATTGTTTGATTGGTTATTTTTACCCGTTTTACCGTGATTTTTTAATCTGTTAATATAAATATAATATAATAATTAATATATTTGTCCTAAAATATATATTTACATTTAATATATTATAATAGTATTACTTGTATACTAGTTTTTTACTATACATTCATTAATTATTAATTACTAACACTATCATTTTCACAATTCATAATTTTGATGAAAACCTAAACAAAAACTTGAATTATAAATAATTAATTACTTTAATTACCCTATTATACGAACTATACATATAATACAAATCACCCATAAAAGAAATTTGAAATCATATCTATTAAAACTTGTAACATCAGTGAAAGAATATTATATAATATTTTGATTATAATTAAATGTTTCATAAAAAAATATATCACACCCATCATTATATTCTTTTCTTTATTTTTGTTGTTGTATGATTTGAATGCTACAGGGTCGTCAAGCAATGGAATGGGTCATCGAGAAATTACATTTAGAAGAATTCGATGATCTTCTGAGTCAAACGGTTCGTCAATTTGACGATTTAACGACGAAAACCAGACGTGGAATGGACGACCTACAAAGTGCCATTAAATCATTTGACGAGATTCACAATCTTACGAGTAATCCATCGTCCCAATCTATGCCGAAATTTTAGCTATGGTTTCGCATTAGCTTCAATCTCTTTAATTGATTTCAATTAAGTAAGGTACTAGAGAATTAGGGGATGGGGGATGATAAAAGGTTCACAAGCAGGAGAATAAAAAAAGAAAGAAGAAGAAGAAGAAGATGAAGAAGAAAAAGAAAAGGAATGGGGAAGGGAAAGGGGGAATAATAACAAAGGTGGATCGAATTACTTAAAAATAAGAAGAAAAAAAAATAAAATAAAAAAAAGAAATAAAAAGAAAATTAAAAAGAAAACCCTGTTGTGTAAACCCAGATGCCCAAACCTCACAACGATAATTGTGGGTTTGTTGTGGTGTTTCCTTCCGTGCCTTTTATCTCAAATTTTTTTTTTAATTATTAAATATAATCAAAAGAGAGAGAATATATGACAGTTGGGATGTGATCTTTGTGTCACGTTAGGGTTGTCAAATATTAATACGTAGATCAGTTTGATTTTTTGTCCTTTCTTTTTTGTTTTTTTTTTTTGACACGATGCGACAATTTTTTTTTTTTTGGTGTGCTGATAATGGTAACAGTGGATTAATTGTCAAGTTAAGATTATGATATGGGATATGATTTAAATTGATTTTAATATTTTTTTATTTTGTTCTTTTTGTATTATATATATATATAAATATATTATAAATAAATAATAATATCAATCTTTCGCGTTAGTTTCTCTTTTTGTTTTCTTTTTTTTTGGACTCCACTCTCCTGTCAACCCCTTTTTATTAATCCACTGTTTATATTATGTGTAGAATTAATTCGATAATTATATTTCTACAAATGTTTTTATTTTTTCTTTTTTTTTGCCTTCAAATTATTACAATTAAAATTTATTGAATTATTTATTCATCCATATTTGCGTATGGATCTAATATATAAAAATAATTTATAACACATACCGGCTGATTTTAATAACTATTAAAATATATTAAATAATACGAGCTCGTATAAAAACAAATGAAAATATTACACAGAAGAAAAAGAAAATCAAATTGCGTTGCACTTTCGATGCATCCCTTAAAATTAATTAACAAAATTTATCTCGTAAAACATTCATTTATTATATGAATTAACATTGATTGAGATTTATTACAAACAAAATCAAGGTTACTCACAAATTGGAAATAAAAGGATGAGATATATATATATATT